AGGAATGGCAGTAACACTTGCAGATTCATAATTTGGTTTTTAACTGGGACTCATTTGAGGGGCAGTGTCCCAAGAGCTAGTGGATGCTACTCAGGGAAACTCCGGAAGGAGACGTATGCAGGAGTGACAGGGAAGCAGTCCCATAGCAACCTGGGTTCCCCCCAGGCCAGAGCCTCCATCTTAGTCTGGGAGATGACAAGTTCAGCCAGAACCATGAGGAGGTTCCTGAGGATGTGGCAAAGAAACCACCAGACACAGGACACTAGGTTTGATGGCCCATAGGTCTGACCCAGCATAGCACTTATGCATGGAGAATTGGGGAAAAGGTGAGGGGACAGCAAGGACAGCATTACTGTGTATGTTCTGTGGTGATGGACATGATGTAAGAATCTGAAGAGTACAGTGGAGCCTAAATTTAAAAATACATTCTCTGTTAAAGACCTCTCAGATTCTTGAATCAATAAGTATTTTGCACATCCACTAACCTCCTATCATAAAGAATAGTTTTGTGCAGAATAGTTTCAAAAGAAATTCTAACTAGAGATGGTATAAGAACGGACTTGAGCAACAGATGTATTCTGATTTTCCTCCAAGCATAGATCTCTTCTTGCTACAGATGTTCCATACAAATATAGAGAAAAGGGCAGGAAGCATAAAACTAAAGAACAATTCAAGGATGTGCAATCCTTTTTGACAGTTTCCCTAACCTTAATTTGTCAGATGTGAAACTACTGAAGAGACTGGAGAAGTTCTCTCTTTTATGGAATTAACATAAATTTGGTTCTGGAGTAAGGGACAGCAGAAAGACAGATCATAAATAAATAACCCTTTAAGTGGCTCCTCACCCTCCAAGTGGCTTAGGCAATTATATCATTAAAAAGGCCACTCCACTTGATTTTGATGTGCTAAGCAATGGAGCAGCCCAGAAATGCCCTACTCTTCCCCAGAACAGCTGCTCTTTTTAATAGGTATTTTACAATATTGATATTTTGGGTCATTAAGTTGATATAGACAAATCATAAGATCCAGGAAAATGCACAGGTTCCAGGTACCTCATATCAAGGGATAAACATAATCAACCTTATTAAACCAACAAACCAAGTTTATTTATAGAAGTCTGTACATTTGTAATGAACTATGCTAGGACACAAGTGAAACAAAGCAAACAAATCAATCCCTCCCTAATGGTGGGAGGTGTAGTCACTCACCTTTACATGCACTTAAAAAGTAAAAAGAAAGATTCTTACACAATTCGTTCTGTAACTACTCAAACGAGTACTCCCTCTTGATGCATTTTTCTCATAAGTGGTTTGAATATAATGATTCCTTGGCTATTGACTTAGTTAGAAACAATATTTCAGCAGAATCTCTAGTAACTCTCGGAGGAACCGCAATTAGTAGTTGATGACTGCGATGATTAGGTCATAACCACTTCACAGTTCTGCACATTAAACTCCTGTGTGTTCCTCTTCAATGTAATAAACTCTACTAAGGAAGGATAAGGAAATGGAGCAAACCATTTAAAGCATCAAAGGGTCTCATCAACATTTTGATTATAAAAAGAGTATTTCTTTGTTTGTAACTCAACCATAAAAATTTGCTCTACAATAAAACAACGTAAGTGCAACCATATTAAAAAATACTCCATTTATGGATTAAGTTTACTAGAGTGGTCACTTGTTGAACCTCAGTTCTGGGTAACGTTTGTGGGTAATTCACATTCTGCAATGCATGATTTTACAAGTTATTTCCGGTAAGTGTCAGAAGGGCTGATATTTTGGAAATTGGCTACTGAAAATGATGTTTGAGGGCTTTGTTACACAACTGTAACACTACTGAAGCTGCTGCAAAGCCAAAACAAACAAACAAACAAAAAGCATATCTACATAGTGGATACTGAGGTTTACTATGAAGTCAAATGGCAGATTCCATAAATCCACTTTCTTAAAAGAAAAAAAATTGAAAGTACATATGGAAGTGAGAGCCTACAGCTCCAAAGAAGCTGCTACTGATGGGCAAGCAAACAAATCTAGGATTGCATATTTACAGAATAGTCCACACAAGAGTTCCAGCACTATGGACTATCTAGTAAATAAGTCCCTCATTTGTTTACGTAGTAGACAAGAACTGCTCATCTACTAAAAAGGCTAATTTTGTATACACAGTTCACTGCGTCAGATTTCACACAGTCACATTTCTTTAAAACTACCATTAAAAAAATAACAAAAGGAAATTAAATATATGAACTAGATTAAAATTCCATTAAAGGATCTAGCAAATCAGAGTCAGACGCGGTTTAAAAATAACCACGGTGCGTGGCTTTTTGGGAAATACTAATGCTATGGCATTCCAAGAATGTCGGGTTCTTCTAACTTTCAGACCCCAGTACAGGAGAACACCACTTCTTTCAGTATCACCTTGAATAGAAATTACAAGTTTGCATGCTTATCTGAATAGGAACCTTTGTGAATTGTTAGGCCACTAATGCCGTTTTATTTTCTTAATTTAGCTTTGTTCCATAGATTCAGTTGAGTTTTGTTTTGAAAAGCAATTTGTGAAATGCCACTTATATTTACAATTTGATTTTTTTTTTACACCTGAGAGATTATCAAGCTGTCATCTTATTTCTGGGCAAGCATTCCATAAAACCATACAATCATTGTGCTAGTGTTTTACTGCACGTTTACCAACTTTTATTTATATATATATATATATATATATAATGTGCATCAGCATCTGCCCTCATTTTCAGTTAGGTTTCTACTGTGCTCTTCCCCTTTCCCTTAACGCAAACTAATTTTTTTAACCCAAGTTTAAAATTGTTGAAAGAAAAAAGGGGGAGGGAATAAAAAAAGCCTCCCCACATCTCCCTCCCCCCAATAAAAAATAACCCAGAAACCACGCAAATGAGTTGAAGCCTGGTGAAGATAAATTTGACATGATAAACGTAGACTGAAGGATTTCTTGGATTTGTAGAAGAAATGAAAGACCATTCAGTGAGTGTCCAGGGGCATCCCAAAGGGAGCTACTCCGCTCAGCTGTGGCAAGAGACCAGATGTACTACAGATAGATTGTGCACTTGTCTCATCAGGTAAGTGAGAGTAAAAAGGGGAATGTGCAGGTTAAACAGCTATACCACCCAGGCCATTTTAGTAAGAATCACATTTAATGAGTTTCTTTCTTGCAATTTTAGATGCTCAAGTACAGCTGGTAGAAATTCAAAACAGCCGTAAAGAACCGTGACAGACAGATACAAATAGTACTGCAGCTTAAAAATGATAAAAAACACCTGAAAAAAAGTCACATAACCCTCCCAAAAAAATTTACACTTTGAACCTAAGCCAGTTTTTGGAGATTCCCTTCTCCAGAGCTAGGAGCAAGGAGGAAGAAGAGGAGGAAGAAAGTGCAGATGACCTTTCCAGCCACAAAGGTCTTGTGCCGATGTTTATTCACCATGTCTGTGGTGGTATGCAAGGGGAGATCATCAAATGCTGATGCTGCAACCACCAAAGAGATTCCTACGGAAATCCAGACTTCAGGCTAATACTGAACACTGAGTGGACCAACGAGCTGCATCAACAAAATTAAAACAAAAATAACAAAAAAAAACCTCAAAAAAAGGAAAAAACCTAAAAAGTGGGAGAACCCCAAATAGCACAGATCCACATTTGTGAGGGGACAGGAGGAAAGGGCAAGAAGGGAGGTCTATACAGTAAATAGTCAAATGATTTATGTTACAAATGACTGGCAGTTTTAAAGAGTCTCTTCCCAGCTCCATTGCTGCTCCAACCCAGAAGAGGAAACTGAAAAGGGAGGAAGAAAAAAGGTAGGACATCATCATGGAGCATGCAGGATCAGAAGCAGCGGAGTGGGTACGCTCAAATAAGCCCCCGCCTTTTTTTGTAGTCCTCCAGGTTCAGTGATCGCCGAGGGGCACCATCTTTTGCTGGTGGAGCCTTAGAAGTGATGGCCAGTGTCTTAGACTCTGTAGGAGGATAAGAGAAAAGAATGTTTTTTTGGATGGCAATAACCAACTACAGAGAGGAAGAAACTGCAAGCCCTACCTGCCACAAACTAAAAATAAGCTTCTCTGTGATAACTTCACCTTGGAACCTATGTCTTGGCTTCTGTGCAAAACAATGCAGCATTTGCCATTTATTATGGGCAATGTTCAGTCACAAGTCTTTCAAGGTAGGTATGTACAATTTTGTCTTTACACCTCTTAGACCTACTCATTGACAAGTCTTCCATTTACAAAAGAAATTATTCTGTACAAAGCCTGTGCAACAGCCATGTGAATATTAATTTCAGGTATTATTCAGGGACATTTCTGAAAGACAACTGTCACATGAATATATGGCAAGCACACAGAACATATTTTACAAGGGGATGAAGTAGTCTAGTTTTCTACACATCTCTACTCCAAGGATAACAGGGGACTGGACAGGGTATTATTCCTTGCCATCTAGAACAATGATGCTGAAAATGCTGCCCCAAAAACTTTACCTACTCTGAACAAATCTAGCCGTATTTCAAATCCATGCACTGGCTCTCTACTCACACAAAGTTTAAACATCTTGCCATGCCTTTCAGGCTCCTACATACCTAGCCTTGGCTTGCCTCTGGCTCTTATCTTTAGGTTTCCTCTTTCACCTATTATTTTCACTAACCTTTTAGCATATGTCCTACTCTTCCCCTTCTGACTTCTTCTACACTGTCCATATGCCTGGAATCCCCCTTTTATACCAGATCTAGTCTCCCAGAACTTTATTGTTTTCTCCATTTTCCTCCTGAAGTTATTTCTTAGGAATGTAGTAAGTGCTGTACTGGATCAGACAAACAGTAATCATTCAAAAGACCCATTTAGCTCTAGTCCTCCTTCCAACAGTGATGCAAAATTATCCTCACTAGTGGATCACACTGTTATATTACATCCAAAACACTCCCCCGCCCCTTATAAAAATTATTATTTGTTCAGACTCCAAATTCTTTGAGACAGGAGCCAAACTTCATCTTCCTGTAGATCTCAAGTGCCAGCACTGGCACTTGAACACAAAAAAGGATGGGAAAGACTGAAAATGAAACTGCTAGCAGGCTAGTTCAATTAACATCTTCTCCTCTTACCTGTTAGACTAATGCCCTGTTGAACCTAAAGTCTATTTCATGATGTATATTACTAGTAAAGGCACAAATATATCTCTACAATACAGCAACTTCTGTACAAGGTATTAGGCATCAGTATAGCACAAAGCATTTGAATTGTGCTCCCATGTCTGCTTCTGAACCAGGCAGTAGCAAATCCCAACCAGATGTGTAATCCCAATTCATGCATTTCTTGTGGGGGGAGGGGGGGGCAGTATGGGAAGGAAGGATACTCTTCCCCATATAATAAAAACCTACCTGAACTGGGAACCTGGAGATCAATTTTCACATCAAAGTCATGCACTTTGAACAGATCCTCTGAGAGATCACTGGCTGATTTAGAGTTCATGTCTTTGTCCTTTCCCTGACCCTGAAATGTAAACAAATTAATAGCTAGCCCAAATCAGAGAAGGTAGTCAGAGCCCCAAATGAAACAGTTTTAATAATCATTGCTATATTCAGGTAAGCTTCGCTCTACTCCCATGACTGACGGCTTCCATTCCCCAAGAAAGGTCAAGTTCTTCTCCTTTACTTGTAGAAATGTTTGTCCTGTTGAGGACTACTACTAAAGTAGTACATATGTATGTATGTACATGCATACACACACAGGCACACAGAATTACAGGATTCTCAGTGAGGAGAGACAAGGCAGAGGTGAAAAAAGTAAGACTAGCAAAAAGGGATACTTGCCTTGCTTATGTCCTTTGGAGCATCCGGTAATACACCGGATCCATATTTTGCATTTAGTTGGGCAAGGATGGCAGCTTGGACAGCAGGATCCCTGGACTGTGAGCAAGAAAAGAAAGTGAGATACTGCATTTCCATACAAGACCTGCCCTTGAACATAAACATCCAAAGTGCTTACTTTCATGAGGGTTTAGAGAACAGCCGCCTTGCTTTCCATATATATTACAAATGATTAAGTTTCACAAAGTCGCCCCCTGAACTGGGCCTAATAACTCAGGCTCTGCTAAAAGTCTCATAGAAAGGTATCCGTTTTGTTTTACAAATCAAGAGATGGAAATCAAAGCCTGTCACCTGGTAGTTTGTTCCAATGGCCAAATCATTTTCATCAGTTAAAAAACAAACAGTTTAATTTGAATTTGCTTGGCTTCAGCTTCCAGCCACTGGTTCTGACTATACTATTTTCTGCTAGATTAAACAGTTCTTCAGTACGTGTTTCCCTGGGAAGGTATTTTAACTCAGCATCAATGTCCTCACCCGAGCCTCTCTTTCATAAAGAGCTTACACCTTGTTCTTTGAATGCAATACATTTTCTTCATCCCTTCAATTATTTGTAGCTCTTTTCTGCACCACCTCCAATTTGCCAACATGCTTTTTAAAGATATTGACCTAGCACCGTACACAGTAATCAAGGACTGGTTTTTACCAATACTGCATACAAAGGTTTAAAAAACACTAAACCCTTATTCCTAACCTTACTACTTCTTCCTAAACCCCTATTCCTAACCATATTCTTCCTTGGATGACATTAGCCCTTTTTGCCAAAGCATTGCATTGGAAGTTCCTGTTGAGTTGCCCACAAACTATGGATCCTCTCCAGCTTCACTCCTTTCAAAGACAGAGTCCTTGAGATGCATTAGGAAACACACAATCCACTAACCATATTTAGGTCTAAAACTTACACTGGTGTTCCATAACAGAACTTACAACTAAAACAGCTCATCTTCCTGAAGTCAAGTAATTTGCTAATTAATTTAAAAGAACCATCTCTCCTCGTGTGTGTGTGTGTGTGTGTGTGTGTGTGTGTGTGTGTGTGGATCAATAATCTTCTTGGCAAAATCTAATTAATAATGAACTATACTATTTCTTCCTTCTGTTCAGTTACAATAGATCTTAACAGAGGCCTTATGTACTCAGGCCAAGAATGACCTGATCTATTATTATGGTACCTGGACAACTCTGCTCCCAGTATTCTTTCATGGCTATGCCATTAAGAAGAAAAGGATAAAAAACACTGACTGTGCACAAGCCCATATTTCCCTCCGGCTGCCCTGGACTGACTTCAAGGTTATACTCACATTCGAGACTATCGTAGGTTTGCACTGTCGCCTAGTAAAGGGGTCCATTTGCTGGTTTTTCATACTGTGACTTTCGGCCTATAGAAGAAACAAATATAGTGTTGTAGAGTTAGCTCCCATAAGGTCTTTGGCCTTTTATAAAACTTGCATCCCTTACACACAATTTAGCCATAACACAATGTCAAGGTGAGAAGACAGCAATAGAGATCACCAAAGTCTTGCACTCAAGACTGTCAGCCTTGTATCCAATGAAGTACAGTATGAATAGAACATTTACATTCCGCTCAAGGAACATGAGGCTTAAGTGAGCATTAAAATGATTAACTTCCCTTGGATAAAGAACACAGAGAGAATACATTTCCTTATTATTTTATCCTCTCACGTCTGTTCTCTGGCTCCTGTCCTAGGCAACACAAATAATATGTTATGCCAGTATTACTAACTCCAGAGAAACCTACTGGGAATATTGCTGATCAGTGGATAGTTAAATGCCTTCTTTAAAGTGATACCACTTTTCTATGCTTTGTTTTCTAAACAGACAAAGGAGTAAATTAAAAAAGTGGAAAAGCCTCCTCATGTAATTAACATCCCTCCCCATCCCCCCAAAGTACTGTTTCAGCATTATTTACCACAAGAGCTTTCTCGGACTCCACAATGTTCCACTCTCTATTCCTCTGGTTGATGTAACTAAAAGAAAGATTTTTGGGGGAAAAAAGCCCAAGTATAGTAACACAGTAATTTAACAGTAAAAAATGCAATAAAACCATAAATAGCATTTTCTTAGCATCAGTGTGATAATTTGCTCTTATCAGCACTAGCTTCTGGCAGACACCCCTTTACTTAAGACACTTTGAAAAATGTGTCCATGTCTGACAAGTGGAAACTGCAAATAGCACATATGACCAAGTGGAGAGAAATGGCAAGGACGCAGGTAGTGTACATAGCAACCCAGGTATATATACAAGAAGGAAGGATAAGAACTTGCAAGTCACCTGAGGAAGGGTACTATGATACCTGAAAGCTTGTTTAAATCTAAAATCTCAAACATGCCATTGGTTAACCCTCAAAAAACAATGATTATATCAAAAGATATCACACTCAAAACTCTTGCTTCCAAGTCACTAAGAATTATTCCATGGTTTCCCCCTTCTGTTGCTTTTCTATTAAGACAATTTCCTTTCTGAAATGACATATATGGACCTACCTGATTGCAGAAATATTTTTTGTTCGCTGGCGGTCCAGGGCTTCTGCTCTCTCTTCTAGTTCGTTAAGTTGATCTTGAATCTGTTTTGCCTTATCTTGGTCCCCCAAGTCCTCAGCCATGGCCTTCAACCAAACAGCAATTTGTTAGACAATTTACCTCCATCAAGCTAGTCACAGAAATTATAGATAAACCTTTAAGTCATCTAGCCAGTTCTACCATATTTACTCAAATCCAAGCTGAGGTCTCACCCCCGTAATGAATATGGGGAGAAAAAAGCCTCATCTTAGATTTGAGTATTAGCCCAGGGCAGGTGGTAGCTCAGCTCTGGCTTCGATCCTGGGCTCGGGGCCAAAGCTGATGCTGAGCCACTGCCTGTCCCAGGCTGGAGTAGCTTATGTGGTAAAGGAGTGGGCTTGCAGCAGGGGGAGCATGGGAGACCCACAATGGCATGTGGGGATGTGTATAAAATTATAACAAAATTTATTAATTTTACATGTACATCTTAAATTCAGAGTCATCTTGGATTCAGGTAAATACAGTACTTCAAGTGCATACACTTTTACCTCTAAGGACAGGACAAAAAGGAGCTCATTTTTCATTAGTCCAGAAGAGAGAGCCACAACTCTAATTAAAACCCATTCTTGCCATTAGTACAGGAAAAGGACTGAAAACTACTGCAGTTCTGAACATCAACTCAACAAGGGATTGAGTTTAAATCCATCTGTTGCATGCAACTAACCTATTCTGCCACCTCATGGCCATACACAGCAATGACATCCTTTCAGAAAGAGAAAAAACAAGAGCCTGCTGGATGTCCTTTGTGCACAACTGAGTTTTATTAAATAGGTGAACTATAAACATTTTGCACACCCTGGGACTGGCCTGGACAGAGTAAACAGGCTTGAACTCCTCACTTTCACGTGTTTGAGACAAACTTAGTGAGAAAACTAAGCAGGTTTTTCCATAGCATAGAAAGCTTGTTAGCACTTTTTTTTTTTAATCTCCAAAATAAAAAGACCCATCAAAACAGTTAATACATTCCTAAGTCTTCTATATTCAACAGAAATCTGAACAGGAGGCCACAAGGGGAGGGGGAGAAGCATGATCATGTCACTAGTCCAGAAGAGAGGAGATGCCCATTGACTCTTCACCAGATGGAATACTAACTCGCAGTTTTCAAAACCGCACACAACAGCAATAAAGAAGAAAGTGTGCTTCTACAACCAAACTGTAAGCTCCTTACTCAGAGGACAAGGAAAGGGATAGCTAGGACAGTTGCTGACCACCATCTCTGTGACACAGATTAGTGTCTCATTAGAGATTTAAACAGGGCTCTAGCTCATCACAACCATCCAAACTAACCTTGATTTTTCAAGTCACAGACCTTTACCTTAAAGGTTACAAGTACAGCAGACCCCCAATTTATGCGAGTATTGCATTCTGGGGGAAATTTCGCCTAAGTCGAATTTGCGTAAATTGGGACAACTTTCCCCATAGGAAATAACAGAATAGTGAGGTGTTGAGTACCCCAGACATACTGCAGTCATAACTTTTTCCCCCCCTTTTCTCAGCAGAATCGCTTTAGGAGGCGCGTCTAGCATCTCGCCTATACATCTTGAGATGCCGCTACAGATCCAATGGCGGCACAGATCTGCTTGATTCCACCTGCAAATCTCACAAACGTTTGCGTATATACGTGAATGCTCGCGAGCATTCGCGTATATACGCGAATGATGCACATCTCATGGGGCATTTTCCAGCCCGGACGCTAATAAAAAAAAAATAAAAAAATCGTGTAAACGAGAGACATGCACAAGTCAGAATCGTGTAAATTGGGGGTCTACTGTATCACCATATCCTTCTCACCTTCTCCTTTAGTAGCTGAGTTTTCTTCATGGCATAGTTGGGAGGGGCTTTTCGGAACCTCTCTTTCTCTTTCACAATCTACAAAACATGAAAAGCAAAAAGCAAAGTAGTGGAAGTTATAACAAAATTTATTTTATAGCACCTTGACACTACAGATGAGAGGCAGTGAGTTTCAAACAGAGGATATTTACTGCCCACAGACCTTTTATTTCAATGCTTTTGCCTTCATTCATTATTGTACCAGACAACAAGCATTTACTCTACATATGATCTATAAATTATAAAATAAGATTTGGTGTCATTAGTCAAGATAATAAGAGCTGAAACACTGGCAGACAATTTGTGTGACTATTTACGCAAGTAACTGTTCAGGGGATGGATATTAGAGTTCTGTGCTCAGAACAGGAACAAAATTAAGGAATTTCTGCCAGGCTATGTCACAAGTACAAGTTATGAGCAGGACTCAGAGGATTAAGTAAGGCAAAAAAAACAGTGCATTGAACAACAGATCCAGTTAAGACTCCTGCACTACTCTTTCCACCTTGGTCATTCCACTTAATTTTGTCGTCTTGTATCATTTTCTCTCTCCCCAAGTAAAGACTCAGAATCACTTTAGTTTGGAAGCACTAGATCTCTGCTGTAGGCAGATTCTTCTCTCTTTGACCAACCACCTCAGCCTCCCTTTAGAACAGTGTTTCTCAACCTCGGTAGACTTAAGGCACCCTTCAAAGTATTAGTTTTTAGCTTTCACTCATTTTTTGACTATGGGAAAGTAATAGAGCAATTCTTCTGTAGTAACTCAGAAAGAACACAACAGGTCATGGTATGTTTTAGACAATATGGATTCCTATTTGAAATCTCTGGGCTTATCTTGCAAGTCACATGTAGGTGTTTGCACACACAACACAGCAAATACTGAGTGGCACTTCACTGCAGTTATAAATCTCACAGCACCCCAGGGTGCTGCAGTACTGTGAATGAGAATCATTGCTCCAGGACATCCCATTTTAAAGACCCCCAAACTAAAAGCATAGTCAGTTTACTTACCTCTTCAATGTCCTGATCATTAAATTTGTAGTTGAGAGCTTCCTTAATGGACACTTCCTTCTTGTTGATCTCATCTAGTGTGGGCAGCTGCATCCCAGCAGAGAACATCTAAATACAGAGAGGGTGAGGATCATTTTCCACTCAGAACATCCTTGACAGAGTTACTAGGAACAGAATCAACCTGGTCAAACTTACCGCTTCCTTCCACTTCATGAACTCACTTTCAGTAAATTCCTGATTTGAGACAAATTCTAGACGAAATACACGCTGGTCATTGCCATGCCTGCAAAAAAGGAAGAAGAGGAACAATATATACCCAGGTGCCAACCAACACTGTGCTGTGCCCGTCTACTGAATGGAGGTCAATAACTTGGGTCCACAAATAGAAAAAAGAGGTTCAATGCCCTCCATTGCCAGTTGAATGGACTTTAGGGTGCTCATCTCCATTCCCAAATTCCCACAATCTGTGGCAAAGCAGTCCTCCTCAAATCTACGTTTCTATTTGGCAGGCATGTTTTAGGTGTGTGAAGGTTTTGACAATCACCTCGTTTATATAAGCACAAGCTTCAACAGACCAACTTCTCCTCCAAACAGCTTTAAAGCTCTTTGACAATATACAGAACAATCCACTAATACAAAAAGACTCTCCTGCGTTCTTACATTTGATAAGTGACATGTGTTAAGACTGAATTACACTGTCCTAAATGATAAGTGCAGGAGCCAGCCTGGTTCTAATTTCTGAATCAAATGAAGTCATATCACCAGCTGGCCAGCACCTAGAATTCCCCAGGTTCCTCAAGTATTCTGTTCTGTTGAGCATCTTACATAGCAATCCAAGTGCCAGACAATCTTTACAGCTGGGGAAGCAAGTTGCCTTGGTAAAACATCCCATTAATGCAAAAAGCCAGGATGGATTTGATTTAAATCAAATCTATTTAAATCATGAGGCAAATCACAATTTAAATCAGTGGTCAAGAAGCCTCAATTTAATCATCATTTTCTACAAAAAGTATGTTTTTGTTTGATATCCTCTATTCATTTAACTTCTTGAAACTCTGCACTTTAGAGAGAGGTAAAGGCTTGACTCTGTGTACATGAACTTGCAGAGAGACAAGAGGGCTGATGGGTAGGTAATTAGGTCTATTATCTCATCTCCATATACTGGTGTTAACAAGGATGTTATCTCTGGAGAGAGAAATCCACAATTTGAGAACTGAAACTAAGCATTACAGAGATGCTTAAATCGGGTCTTCTAGACTGAGCACTGAGTCCCATTGGGTAGAGTGGTTTTTTTTAAATCTTTACTAATCTATAGAGGAGCCTCTGAGAACCTCATAAGATTGGGCCCCTAATATATAGTCCATGGCCTGTTGTGACCCATTTATAAAAAAAAAAAAAAAAAACTTTTCTAAAAATGTTACCTGAATATACTGTCTCAAATAGCATATAATTAGAAGTTATAATCCCTATTTCATGATGATCTCTTTGAGCTTTAACATATCTTAAATTAAAACTATATATGGTTTTTTCCCCAAAAAGCATCTTAACAAAAAAATCAAAAATACACATTAAATAAAAAGAATCTGATTCAATTTTTAAAAAATCATTAATTTTTATCTACCCTGCAGAAAGCTCTCTCCACAGTCTTGGTGGCCAAGCTTTTTAATGTCATTACAGGTGTGAATGCATATATTTTTAGAAGGTACGTTACTGAAAACCTGAACCAATAGCCACTCTCCAAATATGTGGGAGAATCAGATCAATGTCTGGTCTTGTTTTCCTACCTCAGAATGTTGTGCAAATTCATACAACCACCACACCATCATACTGCCTCACAATCTTTAAATGGGGGACATAAGTGCTTGACAGGGAGACCTGATGTGGCCGCTGTTCACGCAGTGCTACATAATAATCCGTGTGATGCTTTTGCCAAAAGGAAAAAATTTTTCCCACTGCCACATTTGGTGGTGGAGGAGAGGAAAGGAATAC